TGGCCTATATAACTGTACTCGGGAGTTTGTTCCACTCATCCACAACTCTATTACCAAACCAGTACTTTCCTATATCCTTCCTGAATCTGAATTTTTCCAACTTAAAACCATTGCTGCGAGTCCTGTCTAGGCTAGATATTTTCAGCACACCATTTACATCCCCTTTATTTATTCCTGTCTTCCATTTATACACCTCAATCATATCCCCCCTAATTCTACGTCTTTCTAGAGAGTGCAGATTCGGGGCCCTTAGTCTATCCTCATAGGGGAGGGTTTCTGATACATGGGATCAACTTTGTCATCCTCCTTTGTACATTTTCCAGAGAATTTATATCCATCCTGTAATACGGTGACCAAAACTGTGCAGCATAATCTAAATGAGGCCTAACCAAGGATGTATAGAGTTGAAGAACAACCTGAGGACTCCTATTATTTATGCTTCTTGATATGAAGCCAAGGATTCTATTAGCTTTATTGCGAACACTTATGCACTGTTGTCTTGGTTTCAGATTACTGCTAACCAGAACTCCTAAATCTTTTTCGCAATCCGTAATATTAAGATCTACATTATTTAGTTTATATGTGGCATGGTTATTGTCCTGTCCAACATTTAGAACTTCGCATTTGTCTATATTAAACTGCATCTGCCACTTCTCCGACCACTGCATCAGTCTATTCAAATCTTCCTGGAGTGCTCGAATGTCCTCGTCAGAATGAATTCGACGGCCTATTTTGGTGTCATCGGCAAACTTGCCGATGTCGCTCTTTATGCCCTCATCTATGTCGTTTATGTAGATTGTGAACAGCAGGGGGCCCAACACTGACCCCTGTGGAACACCGCTCGTAACGCTTCCCCACTCTGATTTCTCCCCATTTATGCAAACTCTCTGCTGCCTATTTGTCAACCATGCCTCTATCCAGGAAAAAATTTCTCCTCCTATTCCATGTGCTTTAATTTTCCTCAATAGTCTCTGATGTGGGACCCTGTCAAAAGCCTTACTGAAGTCCATATACACAATATCATATTCATTACCATGATCTACCTCCTCAAATACCTTAGTGAAAAAAGTTAATAAATTCGTAAGGCAGGAACGCCCCTTTGTAAAACCATGCTGAGATTCGTTGATTAATTTATGCTTTTCAAGGTGGCTACGAACTGCCTCGGCAATTATTGATTCCATAAATTTTCCCACTATGGAGGTTAGGCTTATTGGTCTATAGTTCGAAGCTAAGGACCTGTCACCTGTTTTGAAAATAGGTATCACATTTGCCATTTTCCACTTATTTCTGTAATGTCTCCCATTCTATAAAATGAGACCAGGAAAACTAGAATACAAAAATAAATACCATACGAAAATACAGTGCAAAGTCGGTTTTAATCCAAAAACACAAAGTTTTTTTTCTCATTACGCACTGTGTGCTGCAGGATATTTTTTATACTGCGCACACTGACCACATAGACCCATTCTTTCATATGTAGGTCTACCAGCTTTCTCTCACTAGATTTGAGGGCGCTAGAATTTAGGTGTACTAGTACGTCAAAAACCCTGGTGCGTAAGCTGTACTAGTACGGCCAAAACCCTGAAAGGGTTAAAATGGGTACCTGGGTGTTAGTCGACTGGTGTGGGTTGCATCCTAGGACAAAACTGACCTAATTTGCCCAAAATGCTCAGCAAAACAAGAGGCTTTCTTTATAGTAGTACAGTATGTCATTGATGTCAGCTAGGCCTGTATATCATGTACTTGCAGTAAATAAAGATATTATTATTATATATTATTATTATTATTTTGAGCAGCCTAAAACTAGAACTTAGAACTACTGTACTCGACATTATATAGTTGTGAAGCTGAAATTATTTGAATGATGTCTAATTAACTTGTCTGAAAATAAGAATATTAAATGTAAAGATAATTTTAAATAATGGATCTGTGTACTGTATATTAAAGAGCAATGTTAACAGGAAGAGAGTGCAATATTGCAAAATTGTACTGACAATTTTAGAGTAAATATTGGGGGGAGGGCAGAAATTTAGTGGTGACAACATGTCCATGAGTATGAATGCTGATTGGAATCTAGATGAGCAGAGTATGTTTGATATATATGACACTTATATTTGCTATATGTTAAATTTATGCCAAATTCTGAAGGTGCTTTTATAATATTTTTAAAACAGTTGGCAGAAGGGGAATTTTTAGAATCTACTGGTACAGAGTTCCATATTCTTGGGCCTTTTATTTGCAAGGAGTGTCTACTCAGGTTGAGTCAAACACTGGATTTCAAAGAGATCTTTGTTTCTTGCACTGTGTATGAATTCCGTTTCAGCTCTCCAAAGAAAGTTTTAGCACTGAGTTCATATTTGTACTGAGTGTCCTGAATATATAATAATATGCACAATAGCAAATGTGGATGTTTTATATGTTGATTAAAGTTAATATTTTCAATAGTGAGGGGCAAGTTGTTTAGGAACCGACCGAGTGATCATTCTAATAGCATATTTTTGTCAAGATATGATGGGGTGATCTGTTATTGTAGATCCCCGTACACATATACCATAAGTGAGGTAAGGATAGATTGAGTAGTAGTACACAGTAATGTTACCTGAGGTATTTTTGAAAGACTACTATTTTAGAAATTTTCTTAGTTTGCTGTTAGGTGTATACCTACGAATTTTCCCTCATCTTCTTTCAATGTCTGTATTGTTTACCCTTATTTATTTTTAGCTTTATTCCCAGACCGATATAAATGTAATATCAATACTGAGTGCGAGTTTGTTGGTTGTTATCCAAGTACGGTAGATACTGTTAGAAGCTTGTCAGTAATAGTGTTGCTGAGGACACTCAGATCTGGATTCGACATGACAAAAGTTTCATCATCTGTAAACAGAATATGACAAAAATTGTCATCTGGAGAATTGCTTTAAATTCCTGGGAGGCATTACATGATCAATGATGTATATGAGACATAAAAGAGGGCCTAAGATGCTGCCCTGCGGCACCCTTATGGTTATAGATTAAAGTGATGAAATACATTTTGTCTTTTGTGGTAAAATGTTGGTGTCTGTTGCTAAGGTAGGAATTTATGTATGTGAGAGCATGGCCTTTAATTCCATAATGTTCTAGTTTAAGCACCAGAATGTTGTGGTCTACTGTATCAAATACTTCTTTTTTTTTTAATCAATAAAGATCCCCACTGTATATTTATTATTTTCTAAAGCTGAAGAGACTAAGTAAAGAATTTATCAGTGAACAATTTGTACTTTTCCTGGCATGAAACCAAACCTGCAAGGGTTAAGAATATTATGCTTGGTTATAAATACATACATTTGTTTATGTTTCAAACATTTTATAAAACAATGACAGGTTATAAATTAACCTGTAGTTGATTTCTGTTGGGTCAACATTTTTGTGGAGGAGCATAATCCTTAACAGCTTAAGGAAGTTGGGAGTTTTGCTTTCTATAGACTTCGTGAACAATATAGCAATGGTAGGTGAAAGTACATGAGAATCTTTCTTATATATGAATAGTGGTATATAAGCTGTTTCCTCCTGTCATCTGATATGTATTCATGGAAGTCATACAATGCCTGGGGCATGGGCGGTAATTTGGTTTGATCCGAGGATTATTATTATAATCAAGGGGGAAGCACTAAACCCATAGGATTATACAGTGCTTGGGGGAGGGATGGAAGGTATTCAGGTTTAACTCAGGGAACTGGAGCACAGATCCAGTTCCCTAGATCAAGAGCCCCTCACCAGCATCAAGGAACCTTCCTTGAGGGGTTTGATCCGAGGAAAGAGAGCAGCTTTAATTTCTTGGCTGGAGAACCCCTGAAGGAATCTGTCATATGAATGAGCCTCCTAATACTGGCACAAACATTAATTACCATATGCAACTGTTCTTATAATACCTCCCTTCATGAGAGGCAAGACTGAGCTCATGGGTACAGAAATTAATGCTGCACTTACTTTAGAAGGTCAGGCGGCCTTGGAAGGCAGGAATAAGGTCCCACTTGTCAGCACAGGCCTCTGTTTCATGTCAGCAAGTGTATCTTTAACCATAAGCTAGCAACTTGTGTCACTCATTTCGCGGGCCTGGCACCATGACAGCAACACACAGGGCTCCAGCTCCTGGACATGTGGCACCCAAAGTGTGCAAACGGCACCAAATAATGTGTAAAGTCGTCAATAAGTGAGGAATAAACAGGAGACTGAGTCCAGATGTGCCCTCTTTGCCTGCCTCACACATACTGCTTCTTACAGGTAAACAACACTCAAATGTGTACCTTTGTTTCCTCTATCTTACCTCTCACATGATAATGATGTATGTAATTCAGGATAGAATAAGAGGTGCGTAGGTGCTATATGGCTAAGTTAAAAATTTATTTGACTCGATTAGAAAAGTCTATAATTATGGAGGGTATTTCGGGAAGACTTAAGCTAAATTGAAGCTATTAATAGGGTTGCACATGCAACATGGTTTAATCGTAACACTTTCAGCTTTATTCCCTGATTATTGTGTCCATTTAGCCACCTGGCTGCATGTTGTCACATTATTTTTGAGTTATATTTATTCAACAAACCTAACAGGATTTTGAAAATTTTTATTGAGGAGTTTTGTATTAGGGACAATACTGTTCATAATATTCCTCAAATTAATTGCATATTCATATATTCTAGGAATAATAGTTAATTTTATGTTAGGAAAATGTAAACATAATCACATTATGCAATTATCCAGATTCTGTTTTAAGAAGATTATAGAAGATTATTAAAAAAATAGCAAAGCAAGAGCAATAAGAGTAAAAGTAATAATTAGTCTGGGGAATTAAGGTGGAACGAGGTAGGATATATATTAGGCAGTATATAAATGATAATTCCTGCGTATCGGGTGGGGGGCGCCACCGCTGCAACAGCTGGTGTTTGTCAGGACTTTTGAACGTGTTGGTGAGTCCTACTTGTATTTTATACTTCATCCTGGACTCCTCTCTCATTCTCACTAGAATTATCCTTACATGTCAAGAACTCGTGATTTGATCTATTTTATTCATTTGACTGAACAGTTATATAAAATTTGTGCACAGTATTTTGAATTGTTAAAAAGTTCATGTGTTTTTTTTTATCTTGATGTTCTGTGCTCACTAATCTTAGCCAAGGTGTGGATCATGTGAGTCACTTCACAGTCTTAATTACTCTATAACATTTGTTTTGCAGTGTTTTGGCAAGATTGCTGGATAAGTTTTTACAATATTCTCTCAGGGCTCTGCTCTTTTTCCCTCTTAAGCTGCAAGTTAATTTATTAAGAGAGGGAGAGACATGTACAGGTATGCATAAGTATAATTATCATACATACTTTAACATATGTGTAAACGACCTAGAAAATGTACAGAGAACTTTCACGGCGCGCATAACGGAGATAAAACACCTCAATTACTGGGAGCGCTTGAGGTTTCTAAACCTGTATTCCCTGGAACGCAGGAGGGAGAGATACATGATTATATACACCTGGAAAATCCTAGAGGGACTAGTACCAAACTTGCACACGAAAATCACTCACTACGAAAGCAAAAGACTTGGCAGACGATGCACCATCCCCCCAATGAAAAGCAGGGGTGTCACTAGCACGTTAAGAGACCATACAATAAGTGTCAGGGGCCCGAGACTGTTCAACTGCCTCCCAGCACACATAAGGGGGATTACCAACAGACCCCTGGCAGTCTTCAAGCTGGCACTGGACAAGCACCTAAAGACAGTTCCTGATCAGCCGGGCTGTGGCTCGTACGTTGGTTTGCGTGCAGCCAGCAGCAACAGCCTGGTTGATCAGGCGCTGATCCACCAGGAGGCCTGGTCACAGACCGGGCCGCGGGGGCGTTGACCCCCGAAACTCTCTCCAGGTAAACTCCAGGTAACCCAAAAAATGTCAGTTATTTATTTCCATTGGGGCCATGGTTAAATTTACACTTGAGAGATTCAGTAGACTCAAATATAGCCCATAGATGAATAATACAGCATTTCCAGTTTAAATGGTGAGAGTATTTTGTTATATAAATTTTAAATGCTGTGTGAACTTCATCAGGTCATAAGTTTATATATTTTTTTTAAGTACAGGGACTCAAGTACAGTCACACAAATTTAGGTGATTTTTCCATTATAATATACTGTAATGTGTAGATTACCCAGGTTAACTCAAAAATTCAAAGTGACTTATTTCCATTGGGGCCCTTATAATATTTAAAGCCTAACTTGAAGATAAGAGATAAGATAAAATTTTCTTCAAATTTTTAAACTCCAGAGGGTTAGCCACCCAGGATAACCCAAGAAAGTCAGTTCGTCATTGAGGACTGTAACTTGTTTCCATTGGGGTCCTTAATCTTGTCCCCCAGGATGTGACCCACACCAGTCGACTAACACCCAGGTACCTATTTGCTGCTAAGTGAACAGGACAACAGGTGTAAGGAAACGCGTTGAAATGTTTCCGCCCGCCGGGAATCTAACCTGGGCTCTTCGTGTGTGAAGCAGGAGCTTTAACCACCAATCATGATTTAATCACTTTCTTTTGTATTTGCTGTTCACTCTACCCTTTTCTTGATCTAATTTTTATATTAAAATTTTGCCATTAGTTTATACAATTCAATTCAGATTTATTTTGATATTACATAACCTTAATATTTAAAATGAACTTATTTCATAATAAAGATTTTTAGTATTGCTGACTTGTACTAAAGTACAATATGGAATTTCTCAACTGTTTTATAACTGAAATTACTAGACATTACAGTAGAAACAGCAGCCAGTGCTATTGCAGTAACCTGGCATTTAAGATGGTGCAAAATTTGTGTATGCTTCAATGTTTTCAGGAAGAATGCACTTTGGTTTTGATTAGTTTATGCTTAAAGATGAGTTAGGTTAGGTTAGGCAGTATTAGAAAGTTATATTGTATTCCTAAGATTGAGCAAAACATCAAACACCCAGTAACATTTGTTATCAGTAATGGTTAGGATATGGATATAGATATAGATCTACTCGTATCTATGTCCATATTCTATCCGTGACTGATAACAAGTGTTACTGTGTGTTATGATGTTTTCCTCAGTCTTAGATAATCTTGAATTGACTTGAGTCTGTGAAAGCCCATGGGTAGAATTTTGTTTAGACTTCATGCACATTTTAAAATTTTTACTATACATGTACTACTATTAAGTGTGCCGTAGCTCAATCGCTAGGGCACTCACTGAGGTCCGGAGATCAAATCCTTGGTTCGGCTGGAAAACACTAGGATGTGTTTCCTGAAGACACCTGTTGTCTGTGTTCACCTGTCAATATAAAATGGGTATTTGGGTATTAGTCAACTGGTGTAGTCCGCATCCTGGGACAAAACTGACCTAATTTGCCCAAAATGCTCAGCATAACAAGCAGCTTTCTATATACTCTAGTAGTATGTCATTGATGTCAGCTAGGCCTGTATATCTTGTACATGTACTTATAGGAATAAAGAATATTATTATTATTATTTATTTTTTATTTAATTTATTAATTATTTATTATTTATTGTTTGTTATTATTATTATTATTATTATTATTATTATTATTATTATTATTATTACATGTTAGGAAAGTAGCATGGTTCTGTTTCCCATAATATGGAATGAATATACATAAATGCATTGGAGATCATACAGGGAAGGATGACAGAATTAATCCACTGTATAAGTAAATTTTGCATATGAAAATAGTTTGAGAACCCTGAACATACTCTTGAAGACAAAATGAGAGGAGAAACAATTGAAGCATATACAAGTGGAAGACTGGTTTAAACAAGAGAGTATAATTAGGGTGCTAAGACTATCTACCATAGCAAATAAAGAACTTGGAGCAAAGGATTCAAGCTGGATTAATTCAGATTCAGAAAGGATATGGGAAAGTACTGGTTTAACAGTGGATTTATAGATGAGTGAAACTATCTGCTGGTCATTGAAACTGACACTTGCACAAATATATGAATGAGAAGGGTATGATTTGAGGACATGCCTAACATGGGCCAATAGGCCAACTACAGTGCTCCTCTTATGTTCATAGATATAATTTTAGTATTTTAATCTAGTGCATACAGTACAACACTCGTACATTTAAAAAACATTCCAGCAGTTTCCAATTTTAATTTTTTTTTTTTACAATAGCTTTATATAGTTACCTTGTACATTTTTAAAACATTTTATTCTATATTTTTTTCAGAAGAGAATGGCAGACTTAAACAGTCTTCTGGAAAGTATCAAGACAGGCCAGGTGGTGGGTCTACAAAGTGATATTCAAGTAAGTGGTGACCACTTATATGTGTAACAACTTTCCTACAAATGCTCTTCACTCTTATTAATGAAATTGTATTAGGAAATTTGTGAACAGGAAATTTGACATACTATAAATTTAAATACATAAAGTTGGAAGCATGTGGTTTTTATTTGTATTCATATATGTGCATGTGTGTGTTTTCCATAGACCATGTGTCTAAGGGCAATGTGTAGTGTAAATAGTATGTATAGAATTTGGAGTGTGGAAATTAGGAGGAGGTATGGAATTACTAAAAGTATTATTTAGAAGGCTGAAGAGGGGTTGTTAAGATGATTTGGTTATTTAGAGAGGGTGGAGAAAAATAGAATGACGGAGGGTGTATAAATCGACAGTGGAGGGGAGGAAGGGGTAGAAGAGGGTTTTGTGTGCAAGGGGCTTGGACATACAGCAGACGTGTGTGTGGGGGTATTAGGAATGAATGGAGATGAATGGTTTTTAGGACCTGATGAGCTGTTGGAGTGTGAGCAGGGTAATATTTTGTGAAGGAATTCAGGGAAGCCGGTTAGCCAGACTTGAGCCATGGAGGTGGGAAGTACAGTGCCTGCACTTTAAAGGAGGGGTTTGGGATAGTGGCTGTTTGGAGTGACATCTAAACTGTCATATCTGGGCACCTCTGCAAAGACAGTGAATATGTGTGAATAATGGTGAAAGTGTTTATTTTTGGGTCACCTTGCCTTGGTGGGAGACGGCAGACGTGTTGAAAAAAAAATAATTTTGCTGTGTAGGATATATTTAATGTCATAACACAGTAATGTAATACACTTCCATTTTATTTCAATTTTAATAACATGCATAACTATTACTACAGTGATCTTTAATGAGTTTTTCTTGTCACTCATAATTTTTATGAAGTACAGTACATGTATATATTTAAATTTTTCTTTGAATGTTGAACAAGTAGCAGGTAGAATTCTCATGTGTTAAAAGATCATAATTATGGAACAGCCCATCAGGTGATTCCAAAGACTTAAAATTATAATTGGCTAAAAACTAAATGCAAAAAAAAAAAAAAAAAAAAAAAACTTGAAAATAATGTAAATTGAGCAATGATAAATTATAAATACCGTTATCCAACAGTAATTATTGCATATGTAAGTCTTGTCACACCATTTTACCTCTTTATCAATTGCAAACTCATCTCTAGCTCTTTAAACTTAAGACTGTTATTATTATGCCCTTGCTATAATTTTTTTTAGCACACTACGAGTCTCCCACTGAGGTAGGGTGACCCGAAAAAGAAGAAACAGTCATTCATTCATTCAATCAATCAATCAATCAATCACTGTCTTCACAGAAACGTGTTAACATCATAGCTCAGGTGACCTTCTGAACTGCAACATCCCTGACCCTCTTTCAGAGTGCAGGCACTGTACTTTCATCCTCCATGAATGCTCATTATTAATCATTTTATAATTCAACTCTTAATATTTATTATTTAAAACACTACCAATGTATTAACAACCTTCAAAGTGTTTCACCTTCATCCCGGTAATACCTTTACAAATATTTAGTGCTGTAATTTAATAATAGGTTAATTCTTAATGAAATGCTGTATATAATTATTTGCTTCTCTAAAGTTATCCCAACATGTCAGCAGTATCTATGTACTTTTAAAAAATACAGTGGACCCCCGCTTAACGATCACCTCCCAATGCGACCAATTATGTAAGTGTATTTATGTAAGTGCGTTTGTACGTGTATGTTTGGGGGTCTGAAATGGACTAATCTACTTCACAATATTCCTTATGGGCACAAATTCGGTCAGTACTGGCACCTGAACATACTTCTGGAATGAAAAAATATTGTTAACCGGGGGTCCACTGTATATATTAATTACTTGATTCTTTAGCTCTCATTAGCCAATATCACTTCTAATTGGAAAAACAAAAATGTGCAGAAAATGGATGGTTTGCCTCAGTATGCATATGCTTAATATGTACAATATAGTGTGTCACCCTCTGTAAATGGAAAGTTTGGTTTAAACATTCATTAGTCATGAAACCTTGCAATTCCTTTTCATGTACAGTCTATTTCTACTTGCAGAGATTCTTGGAGATACCACATAATGCCAATGGGGAAGGACAGCAAATCATCAGATATTGTTCCCGTTATGTGTATGAGAACCAAGATCTCGAGCAGCAGACTTTCTCTGCTATATTGGACATAATTGACATTGCTTGTAAATACCAGCATACACAAATTGCAAGTGACACAACTTTTCATGTAAAATCTATGTTTTACATCATATTGATTTCCACAAAAAGAAAGGTATGTTTATAATCCTGGAGCCAGTTAGGTAGTGAGGGAGGGAAAGGAGTAAGAAATGTTTAGAATTCTTGATCTGAATTTTTAGAAATGAAATATAGATAAGAGCAGTGTCTGTCTGTGTCATTATCACATTTTCAACCCTTATATGATTCATCACATGGTAATTCTTTGTGCTTACATTTAATCAAAGGTGGTCCTGTTTTGCCTTAATCCTTTATAACTACTAGACATGTTTTTGAAAAGTACATGTTGCAGATTCAAACAATATCCCAAATTCTTCACCACCATCCAAGTAGCCCTTTATATATGATAGTCATAGTTAGATCCGTAAGATCATAATTCATGTTAAATGCTAAACCCATGTAGGCCATTCAGTGCAAGACATCATGGAGGATTGATCCTTCATCTGTGTGCCAGACAGATGTGATTCCTATTAGTACTTGTCAAGATGTTCTATATCCTTGAAAAAAATGCCATACCACATGCCTACAATGCAAAAAAAAGTGTGGGGGGGGGGGGGGGTATTGTTTAAATTAAAAAAAAGGCAAGTGACATCAAACTGCAAGGAATAATATCAACTACGTACTATACTCTATAGGAAACCAAGAATTTTGTAAATTGTGTGTGCTATAGCAATATATAACTCCATTATATGAATGGAGACGAATGGTATTTGGGACCTGACGAGCTGTTGGAGCATGAGCAGGGTAATATTTAGTGAAGGGATTCAGGGAAACCGGTTATTTTTATGTAGCCGGACTTGAGTCCTGGAATTGGGAAGTACATGCCTGCACTTTAAAGGAGGGATTTGGGATATTGGCAGTTTGGAGGGATATGTTGTATATCTTTATAAGTATATGCTTCTAAACTGTTGTATTCTGAGCACCTCTGCAAAAACAGTGATTATGTGTGAGTGAGGTGAAAGTGTTGAATGATGATGAAAGTATTTTCTTTTTGGGGATTTTCTTTCTTTTCGGGTCACCCTGTCTTGGTTGGAGATGGCTGACTTGTTAAAAATATATGTGTATATATATATATATATATCTTCTTCTTTCAACGTACCAGCCGTATCCCACTGAGGTGGGGTGGCCCAAAAGGAGAAACAAAAGTTTTGCCTTTTAAAGTTAGCAATATATACAGGAGAAGGGGTCACTAGCCCCTTGCTCCCGGCATTTTAGTTGCCTCTTACAACACACGTGGCTTACGGAGGAGAATTCTGTTCCACTTTCCCATGGAGATAAGAGGAAATAGACAAGAACAAGAACTAGAAAGAAAATAGAAGAAAACCCAGAGGGGTTTGTATATATATGCTTGTACATGTATGTGTAGTGTGACCTAAGTGTAAGAAGAAGTAGCAAGACGTACCTGAAATCTTGCATGTTTATGAAACAGAAAAAAGGACACCAGCAATCCTACCATCATGTAAAACAATTACAGACTTTCGTTTTACACTCACTTGGCAGGACGGTAGTGCCTCCCTTGGCGGTTGCTGTCTACCAACCTACTCCCTATGATATATATATATTCTTCTTTTTTCAACACACCGGCTGTATCCCACCGAGGCGGGGTGGCCCAAAAGGAAAAACGAAAGTTTCTCCTTTTACATTTAGTAATATATACAGGAGAAGAGGTTACTAGCCCCTTGCTCCTGGCATTTTAGTTGCCTCTTACAACACACATGGCTTACGGAGGAAGAATTCTGTTCCACTTCCCCATGGAGATAAGACAAAATAAACAAGAACAAGAACTAGAAAGAAAATAGAAAACCCAGAGGGGTGTGTGTGTATATTTATGCTTGTACATGTATGTGTAGTGTGACCTAAGTGTAAGTAGAAATAGCAAGACATACCTGAAATCTTGTATGTTTGAGACAGAAAGAAGACACCAGCAATCCTACCATCATGTAAAACAATTACAGGTTTCCGTTTCACGCTCACTTGGCAGGATGGTAGTACCTTCCTGGGCAGTTGCTGTCTACCAACCTACTACCTAAATATATATGTAGTATATATATATATATGTATAATTTTTTTTTTTTTTTTTTAACAAGGCTTTTCCCAAAAAAATGTGAATTGCTATCCCCATATATAGTATTTGTGATTAAAAAAAAAATCTACACCCGAGTCTTGTTATTATTTTATGGCTTAATACTTTCAGGATCTGCACCATTATTTGGCTGGGCTGATCACCAGTTTGGAACCGTTCTTGAATAAGTGTGACACTTCAAATGGTGATGCCTTATCCATAGTGAAGAGTCTATATCAGAGTGTTTGGAATGCTAGTTTAGTTGCTACTTCACCTGTAGAGGCTCTTACTTTGCAAAGATTTGCATTACAATACCTCATTGCTTCAGGATCAAGTGTATCAAAAGTGTGTGGACAAGCTCTAAAAGCACATCTCAGTTATGAACAAGTACATAAGTCGTCAGAACACCTTGATACATTTTATCAGTGTATCATCAGTAAGTTGACAGAGACTGCTAAAATAGAGAGAAAATATGATGATGATGAAGTGTTAGCTGTATTTGGTCTAGTCATGGAATATGCAAAGATTGTTGTTAAGTTGAATGTGTGTGCACTGTTCAGCAAAATAACTTGCCCATTTGTTACTTTCTGTGAAAGTTTTTGTGACCAACAAATTATCCTAGCCTTAAAAGTTGGTCTTAAACTTACTGAGGTGGGCATGGCACTCAAGGTTGGCAAATGTAAGGAAGAGATGATGGTCAAGCTGGTCACATCATTTCGAGTGGTTCCCATCGTCTTTGTGCCAAACACAATCATGCTAGTCAGCTTGTTGAATACAATAGCACTTTTTGAATACCAACAGGATAAGGATATTCTAGTAAGAGCTTTTTAGTATTGTATGTACTACACTATGTAAACAATATTCATATTTTGATTATATGTATATATATACATGTATAGGTATGCACTATCTATCAAAATTAATTTTAGTTTCTGTTTATCAGTATTCTTTAAATAGTCAAGTGCTGTCATGTCTTGTGGAGGCTCTACTTGAAAGATGTAATACACCATTACAAGAAGAAAATGTCAAGAAGGTAAGCAAGGCTTATAGCAAACCAATTAAAAAATTAAGGCATAAAAGTATAAAGGTCTAATTATTTTGCTATTGGTATCATGGCAGTTTGGAGGGATATGTTGTGTATCTTTATACATATATGCTTCTAAACTGTGATTGTAATATGTTTTAGTGCAGGATGACAGTATAAATCTAAAATTAACTTTATATAATTTGCATGTTTATTATACAGTACTCCTATCTTGTTTGTTTTCCTTCAGGTTGCTACTGTATTACATCAGCAGTTAGGCTGCTTTGTTGGCATGATGAAAACTTCTCCTGATCACAAGATACTGACTCAAGCACTAACCTGGGTCATTAAAACAAATACGTTTATGTCTACTCATTGTGGTAAAACATCCGATGCAGTGTGGAATATTTACAATGTTGGTAAGCTCATGTATTACTGCAGAATTCTTTCTCAACAAGGCTGTTGAGTTAGTACTAATGCACTTTTCTTAATACTTTCACCTAGTGTGCATGTCTTTTATTATCTTTTTATATAAAAAAAATCTTTAGTCTTTAAATTTAGCTTTAATGGTTTGCAGATTTGTTGAGGCTTAGACTGCAAAGAACTTGTTATTGGGTATTTCCTTATCAAGGCAGCATGATCCAAAGAAAAGAATCACTTGCTCTTTGCCTGTCTTTTCTGAAAGTATATACATGTGATCTAGTGAGGACCCACCAAACTCCAATATATTTACCCAACTTTGATTGCACGAACTCTTCCTCCTGCCCCCATAACTCTTTTCTGTCCATTTTCCTGACTCCTAGATACATCATTACCATTGTCAGTGCACATGTCCCAAAAAATGCCTTGCCTTCTCTTTAATGCACTTGCATTTGCATTCTGGATATTGTCAGATTACTTTCTCTCTTCCTCATCTCATCCATCTCGATTTCATACAACTCTCTTAACCGATATTTCTCCATCCTTCACCCTTGAAAAATCATGTTGATAATACCTCTTCCTTTAAATTATACCCATCATACAATCAAACATTCTTATTTACTTCCTATTCACTACATAATACAGTGTCTGAAAAAAAATCATTGTTGTGAAACAAAAATAAGTGTGCTGCCAGTTGAGTACTGAATGTTTTTTTTTTTTTCCAACCACATAAAGAAAATAATTGAAACACTCGTATGTTTGGTATCCCTCCCATCTTAGACACGAGACAAAATCCAAAGTTCTCAATAACCCATACACCATGATAGAGGGAGGTGTTGTCAAACTTCCATCATTTGCTCAGAACAGATGCTGAAAATGTTAGTAAAAATTCCTTCCTCCCCTTCCCTACCCATTGTTTTCTCCCCTCACCACAACTAATCAAAAGTTTGATAACAATGATTTTAGGTATGCAGTATAGCTTAAATGAAGCTTTTATTTTTTCTTACAGGAGTCAACTCTGGTAATTTAGGAGTGCTTGCTTTCCGAATTAACAAGTACGATATGGCAGCTAAATTTCTTGAAACCTCTGTAGACATGCTGGACAGGTACCATGTATTAGCTTCAGAAGAACAAAAGGTATTACCATTGAAAGCAAATTCTTTATGCATAGTATCAGATCATATGTACTTAAAAACTGACTAGGTGACCTAGTTTGGGGATAAGTATTTTAATGCAGTTTATGGAGTTCTTTAATTTATGTATTTTAAAATTTCATATTAGCTAAAAAAATACTGGAAATAATCATATACATGTATATTTATGTGCATGCACAATTTTTGTCTAAATGATAATGTCATAATGATAGTTATTGTACCATGTTCATATATGCCTGCTGGATGCTTGATTCCTTACCTCTCTGAACCTTCTTCACACTCCTACCAACACTTCTTGGAAGTCTTCATATTCTTCTATTGATATTAAATTTAAGCACCCTCTTAAACTATCTATATGTGGCCCACAAAAATCTGAACACACTTGATCTTTGAATTGTATGTTTCATACTGTCACACCATCATATGCAGTGGTCCCCCGACCTACGATATTAATCCGTTCTTGAGGGCCCATCGTAAGACGAAATGATCGTAGGTTGAATTAATTTTCCCCATAAGAAATAATGGAAATCAAATTAATCCGTGCAAGATACCCAAAAGTATGAAAAAAAAAAATTTACCACATGAAATACAGCGGACCCCCGCATACCGTTGGCATCACATAACGTTAAATCCGCATACCGATACATTTTATCGCTAAGATTTTGCCTCGCATACCGCTAAAAAACCCGCTCAACGCTATTCGTCCGAGACGCGTCTAATGTGCGGCCTGAGCCAGCCTCACATGTTCCGCCGGTGGCATTCTTTACCAGCCAGCCTCCACGGTAACATCCAAGCATACAATCGGAACATTTCGTATTATTACAGTGTTTTTGGTGATTTTATCTGCAAAATAAGTGACCATGGGCCCCAAGAAAGCTTCTAGTGCCAACCCTGTGGTCAAAAGGGTGAGAAATATCGAAATACTGTGGTCATGGTCAACTGCTGATGCTGCTGCTGCTGTAGCACTGTCAGCTGCTGCTGCTGCTGTAGCACCGTCAGCTGCTGCTGCTGCTGTAGCACCGTCAGCTGCTGCTGCTGCTGTACCACCATCAGCTGCTGCTGCTGCTGCTGTAGTACCATCTGCTGCTGCTGCAGCACCGTCTGCTGCTGCTGTAGCACTGTCAGCTGCTGCTGTAGCACCATCAGCTGCTGCTGCTGCTGTACCACCGTCAGCTGCTGCTGCTGCTGTAGTACCGTCTGCTGCTGTAGCACTGTCAGCTGCTGCTGCTGCTGTAGTACCGTCTGCTGCTGTAGCACCGTCAGCTGCTGCTGCTGCTGTAGCACCGTCAGCTGCTGCTGCTGTAGCACCGTCAGCTGCTGCTGCTGCTGCTGCTGTAGCACCGTCAGCTGCTGCTGCTGCTGTACCACCGTCAGCTGCTGCTGCTGTTGTACCGTCTGCTGCTGCTGTAGCACCGTCTGCTGCTGCTGCACCACCGTCAGCTGCTGCTGCTGCTGTAGCACCGTCAGCTGCTGCTGTAGCACTGTCAGCTGCTGCTGCTGCTGCTGTAGCACCATTGTTGGTGTGGCTTATTGAGAATACCAAGAAAAAATTAACCCCAGAGGGTTAGCCACCCAGGATATCCCAAAAAAGTCAGTGTCATCGAAGACTGTCTAACTTATTTCCATTGGGGTCCTTAATCTTGTCTCCCAGGATGCAACCCACACCAGTCTACTAACACCCAGGTGAACAGGGAAAAATCCCTGGAACTAGTGCTCATATTGGTGAATTTAAAGCCAGCAATGGTTGGTTTGAGAGATTTAAGAATCGTAGTGGCATACACAGTGTGATAAGGCCTGTTCTGGAAGAAAAAGCCAAACAGGACCTACAGTACTCAGGAGGAAAAGGCACTCCCAGGACACAGTGTCTCATCAGTCATTGCTGCATCTTCAATAAAGGTAAGTGTCATTTATTCTTCGTTTAGTAGAGTAGTACATGCACAATATATATTGTGCATGTACTACTCTACTATTGTGCATGTATCCTTCTCTTTGTGTGTAGGAAAATGTATATTTCATGTGGTAAAATTTTTTTTTTCGTACTTTTGGGTGTCTTGCACGGATTAATTTGATTTCCATTATTTCTTATGGGGAAAATTCATTCGCATAACGATAATTTCGCATAACAATGAGCTCTCAGGAACGGATTAATATCGTTATGCGGGGGTCCACTGTATACATTTTCCTACACACAAAAAGAAGGATACATGCACAATAGTAGATTAGTACATGCACAATAGTAGATTAGTACATGCACAATAGTAGATTAGTACATGCACAATAGTAGATTAGTACATGCACAATAGTAGATTAGGACATGCACAATATATATTGAGCATGTACTACTCTACTAAATGAAGAATAAATGACACTTACCTTTATTGAAGATGCAGCAATGACTGATGAGACACTGTGTCCTGGGAGTGCCTTTTCCTCCTGAGTAATGTAGGTCCTGTTTGGCATTTTCTTCCAGAACAGGCCTTATCACACTGTATGCCATCACAATTCTTAAATCTCTCAAACCAACTTTTGCTGGCCTTAAATTCACCAGTATGAGCACTAGTTCCAGGCATTTTTTCCTGTTCACCTAGGTGTTAGTCGACTGGTGTGGGTCACATCCTGGGAGACAAGATTAAGGACCCCAATGGAAATAAGTTACAGTCCTCGATGACACACTGACTTTTTTGGGTTATCCTGGGTGGCTAACCCTTTGGGGTTAATTGTTTCTCGGTATTCTCGATAAGCCACACCAACAACGGTGCTACAGCAGCAGCAGCAGCTGACGGTGCTACAGCAGCAGCAGCAGCTGATGGTGCTACAGCAGCAGCAGCAGCTGACGGTGCTACAGCAGCAGCAGCAGCTGACCATGCTACAGCAGCAGCAGCTGACCGTGCTACAGTAGCAGCAGCTGACCGTGCTACAGCAGTAGCAGCAGCAGCTGACCGTGGTACGATAGTATTTCGATAATATTTCTCACCCTTTTTACCACAGGGTTGGCACTAGAAGCTTTCTTTGAGCTCATGGTGGCTTATTTAGCAGTTAGAAATACTAAAAACACTGGAATAATACAAAATATATTCTGAATGAATGCGTGGGAGCGACCGCTCTGGCTTGTAAACATTGGCACACTAACTGAAGGCAGGCCAGCTGAGGCAAGCTCAGGGGGACAGACACGTGGACACGTACCGGACGAATGCTGTAGGTCAAGTTTTTCAACGTACGTCGGGGTCAAATTTTTACGCTGAAAAGCATCGTAGGTCGGTTTTAACGTAGGTTGGGGACATCGTACATCGGGGGTCCATTGTAATTATGTTTATTCCTTTGTACATATTAGGAAATTAACTTCATCTTTCAAAGACCCATCTGTTAATACATACAATCACAAATAGGAATGTACTAAAGTATCAGCATTGGTAATGGCTAAAAAATGTGGCAGATACCAGCCGATTCTTTTAAATATAAATATGTGTAATATACGTACATGGGACTTGACAAGCTGTTGGAGTGTGAGCAGGGTAATATTTTGTGAAGGGATTCAGGGAAACCAGTTAGCTGGACTTGAGTCCTAGAGGTGGGAATTACAGTGCTTGGACTGTACAAGGGAAGGGGTTTGGGATATTCGCTGTTTAGTTACAACTAAACTGTTGTATCTGTGGGCCTCTAGTAAGACAGTGACATTGTGAATGATGGTGAAAGTTTCTCTTTCGGGTCACCCTGCCTCTGGGAGATGGCTAGCGTGTTAAAAAAAAAATGCGCTTAAAATATTAAAATTAACACTACATCATGATTGTGAGGGTTACTCACATGCACTCTCACACACTAACACAGTACAGACACTTCATCTAGTTATCCATGGTTGCTTTCTCGAGCAAAGTAATGAAAGACAATTTTGCTAACTGTGGGCAAATATTGAGCCACTTAAGTTACTCTCCTCTTGCCTACAGTAAACTAGAGGCTCTTTAATAACAAAATGACCTATCAAAGCACAAACTTGTTCAGAATGTACTGTACCTACCCGCTAGAAAAGCAGATTTTTAATGTAAGATCACGTCTAAAAACAAAAACAAGCCATTGCAGTGTATTCCTTAGATAACACACCTACCATCATTTGATGGCAAAAAGTGGAATCTTATTGCCAGGTTATCTTTGTTGAAAATATTTTGTAGTGAAAGAAATTGTTCGCTCTCAGAAATACTGTCAAGTAGAATATTTGAAACATTTCATTTACAAAAGTTTTGAGTGATCCAATATCCTCAGGCTTTTGTAGCACACTGTCAGCTGTTGAAACATCACTGCAGGTGTGTGTGAGCATGTAAGATAGGAGTGAGTTGAGTCAAGTGGTTTTTATGACTTGTACTGTTGGAGTGTGAGCAAGGTAACATTTAGGAAAGGATTCAGGGAAACCAGTTAACTGGACTTGAGTCCTGGAGGTAGGGGGTACAGTGCATACACTCTGAAAGAGGGGGTTAGGTATATTGTAGTTTAGAGGGGCATCTAAGCTAAGATTTTGATTGTGGGAACTTGTATTATTACAGATGGTCATGTACATATTTTCTCTACTGTTCTTCCACCTAAATAAGCTGTTCCCTTAAAAATAGTCTATAAGCTGAGGCTGATTTTGGAAATTTGGTCTAGTTGCCCTAGAATAATAAGGGTTTGTAGTATACAACTCCAGTATTTTTGTTTAATTTTTTCTCTCCTCCCTTTACTACAGTCTTTTTTGTTATTTAGAACACAATTTTTCTTTTTTTCTTTTTGCAACAAAAGAAACAAAACACTACATACGTTTTATTACACATTTAATTACCATATTCTTTTTATAAAAGATTGTTGTGGCTCCATCATTAAGCAAGAAAGTGAAGCTGTGGAGTGATGCTCTCAGGTACCATGAGAATTTATGGGAGGCAGGCGTTGCTGCTGCTCGTGGACACATCAGAGGCTGCCTCACTCTTGATGACTTGCTCATAGTATGGATCAAATGCAAGAGAGATGCTGAGAAATCTGGAAATAAAAATTTAAGGGCAAGTACCTGCCATTGATATTATGAATTGAGTATCCATTTATGTCATAATATGGTAAACAAGTTAACCTGTAAATGGTCCAAACATATATATACGTTTTTACCGCTAGTGCCCCAAACGTATATATGTTTTATTTTTCCTGCCTTCAAATTTGGCACGAATGGCATGAGATGCCTTGTCAGCATAGAATGGGTCCTAACACTCAGTGTGCGCGGTATTAAAAAAATCTGGGACCACTTATTACCTTGTGGGAGCACCGGTTCAAATGAGCGCCAGCTAGAGCAAACAGCGCAGCAAACACCTGGGATTCACTGATGTCATGTAGTATTAACACTCCCTGGCTTTGAGGTGGATGTGGCCACAAGTGGTTGAGGAAATATCAAAAAACCTCGATAATAACCCATGTGCAATATTTGTGCAACACCCTTTCAGAATGTCGTATAATCTATGCCCTAAGTTAAGAGAAACAACCCTGGCTGGCTGGCTGGCTGCCTGGCTGGATGATTGGCTGGCTAGCTGGCTGGCCAGCTGCATGGTGGCCAGCTGTGTGGCTGGCCGGCTGCTGGCGGCCTGACTCTATCTCCATTTGTCTGTCTATCTATGTCTATCTGTCTCTCTGTCTTTGTCTCTATCTGTTTTTGTCTATCTGTCTATCTCTTTCTATCTGTCTATCTCTATCTCACAGGTACACATAAATACATGTATACGTAGTGTAAATTACCTAGGATATCCCAAAAAATCCAGACAAAGTGCTATACTCTGCTTGAAGATGTGAGTAAAGGTGATGATGCAGTCTTGTGGCTCTGAGACAGAGAGCTAGACAGATAGACAGGGAGCTTGACAGACAGACAATTAGACAGACATGTTTGTGTACCAGTGAAAACAAAGGAGGGCCATGCTCATCAAACGTCACCTCTAATCTTTTCTTATCTGCTGCACCCTCCCCCACCCTCGTGTATGCTCATCAAACGTCAGCTCTTACCAGATGTTATCTCATCTTATGTCACTGTCAGGGGTGGACTTTATTTTTCATGCTTCAAGGCAACTTATTTTATTATTATTACATATTTTTCTCCCCCTCCTCCTCCTCCCCCTCCTCCTCCCCCTCCTCCTCCCCCTCCTCCTCGTCCCCCTCCTCCTCGTCCCCCTCCTCCTCGTCCTCCTCCCCTCGTCCTCCTCCCCCTCCTCCTCCCCCTCCTCCCTCCTCCCCCCCCCCCCCTCCTCCTCCCCCCCCCTCCCTCTCCTCCCCCTCCTCCTCCCCCCCTCCTCCCCCTCCTCCTCCCCTCCTCCTCCCCCTCCTCCCCCCTCCTCCCCTCCTCCCCCCTCCTCCTCCCCCTCCCCCTCCTCCTCCCCCTCCTCCTCGTCCCTCCTCCCTCCTCCTCCTCCTCCTCCCTCCCCCCTCCTCCCTCGCCTCCTCCTCTCCTCCCCTCTCCCCTCCCCTCCCCCCCTCCCCTCCCCTCCTCCCCCTCCCCCTCCTCCTCCCCTCCTCCTCCTCCCCTCCCCCTCCCTCCTCCTCCTCCTCTCCCTCCTCCTTCCTCCTCCCTCCTCCTTTTCCCTCCTCCTTCCCTCCTCCTTTTCCTCCTCCTCCTCCTCCCTCCTCCTCCCTTCCCTCCCTCCCTCCCTCCCCTCCCCTCCCTCCCTCCCTCCCTCCCTCCCTCCCCTCCTCCCTCCCTCCCTCATCATCATCATCATCTCCAAAACATTGCTGGGACATACAAATACTTTGTATATATTCCAAGACAATAGTAAATGGGCAAGACAGGTGTAAATGTCCACCTGTCAGTGTGTTTGTGACAATGTGAATACAATTTCAGTGCCAAATACTAGTATCAGAACAAAGATTGGTTATGAAATGACAAGAACTACTATAAATTGTAATTATCAGAACATGAAAATTATATAAAATAATATGAAAAATAGGTCACACTACACATACATGTACACATTTATTTATACACACTCATCTGAGTTTTCTTTGATTTTATCTTAATAGTTCTTGGTCTTATTACTTTTCCTTTTATATCCATGGGGAAGTGGAATAAGAATCTTTTCTCCGTAAGCCATGCGTGTTGTAAAAGTCAACTAAAATGCCGGGAACAATGGGCTAGTAACCCCTTTTCCTGTAATAATTACTAAAAAGAATAAGAAAATTGGGTCACCCTGCCTCTGTGGGAGACGGCCGACTTGTTGAAAAAAAAAAAAAAAGGGTATATCGGTAACACTTTTGCAAGCGGCAGTGCTCCATGTTGCCGTCAGGTGATCCCCAAGTGCCAACTTTGCGGCCTCATATCTTGGTAAGTACTGACTCTAAATTTTTTTTTTTTATCCTATAACACTTAGAAAAATATGCTCTTTTTTTTCAATAAAAAAAAAACTATTTTTATTTTTCAAAATATTCGGGGCACTGGGGTAGTGAACGTATATATACGTTTGGACCATTTACAGGTTAAAATAGGTTTGTAAGTCAACTTCGAATAGTAATATTTGGTGCTCCTTCAGTAATTTGTATGCAGTTATATGTGAAATAAACTCAGTAAATTGTTTGAATACTTTGTGATAAAATAAAATTAAGGCAAAAAGAGTAACAGAGTTCATAAGTTATATACAGGCTCTCCTCACTTAGCGATGTACTCGTTTACCTACGCCTCAGACTTATGTCGGGCTCTATGACCAGTATTCATACCTAAATAATGTATATTAGAGGCTGATTTCCTCTATTCTCTTTATTACAATGTACAGTACACTACTGTATAAACATTTAAAAATATACCAGAAATGTTATAAATGGTGCAAAGGTGACATTAAAACAGTATCAAAGATGGTTGATAAAATCTCTCTACCATTATAGTATGCTCCTCACTTAGTGACAAATTCGTGTGACAATGTGGTCTCGGGAACGGAACTGTCGTTAAGTGAGGAGAGGCTATATAAAAAATGACAAAACCATTTGTAATAATTTGGGTAATACAATAATGTTAAATAATTTCCATTAATTTATAAAACTGTGCTGGATATAAAAAAAATACATTAAAGGCATACCTTGTTTTATGATTGGGGTTAATTCCAGTGTTTCAGAACATTATTAGGGCAGTGCTAATGTGTTTTAAACTCTTGGGAAAAGTGTTAAAACTTTGGGCTAGGTTACAAAATTAGCCTAAATAGGCCTATAGGGCTGCTAGTTAGGTAGGCCCTTATCTCTCTTCATTCAACCTATACCAGGTGTCTTGGCCTATTTTGATTGGGGTGCTCAGTGTGAATATCAGTCACGAAGATAGAACTCCAAATGTAAAGGCAAATTAATTCATATTAAACCCCCAGAGTTCAGGTGACTTGCATCCTTAATGAAGGGGCATTGTACAGTTTAGCAAGGTGTGCCTGTACAAGTCTCCAACTTGCAACACCTCCAACTAAAAATTCTCTCCTAGCTTTCAAATTCCCATAAATTTCTAACCTCCCCCCCCCATCCCCATTTAAAATATAACTATATTGCATACAAGGTATGTATTACCTAGAGCCCTACTTAGTCAGTCTTCCACTGTGACCACAATGCAAAGCATACCCATCCTGATGTTTTTGTGTAAAACGTACTCATTGTCATTCTTATCGGGTAAGAAGAGGCTACAAGATGCCAAGTGAGTGAAAAAGACTAGCAACATAAGCTTTTTTATGCATCTTTGAACTTAATAAAGCTTCTCTTAGAGCGGAAAGCCATGATTATAATGACTTCACTAGTTTTGTAGGTTTTCATCATTCTTATTGTTTTTGTTGATATTTTATATTCATAAGAAATTTTTGTGTATAGGGGCTAACAGTTTGTGATGTCGTGAACGATGCCAAAAGAAAGTATCACGAGGCAGAAGAATTCACTTTCAACAATGCTACAGCTCTTCTCTCAGAAATCAGATGTTACAAAAAACAGAGGTAAGCTGTGAAATATTTGTCACAGGTATGTCTGCCAGGCACTTCTTCCACAAGTAAATTTCCAACATTTCAGTAAGAATAATATTACTATATTTACAGTGAATATTAAATGAATTTTCATTGTGTGAAAAAAGTTCTGTTATTTTAGTTCTGACAGTATCCAGTGACAATGATGAGCTGTTGGAGTGTGAGCAGGGTAATATTTTGTGAAGGGATTCAGGGAAACCGGTTAGCTGGACTTGAGTCCTGGAAATGGGAAGTACAATGCCTGCACTTTAAAGGAGGGGTTTGGGATATTGGCAGTTTGGAGGAACATCTAAGCTGTCATATCTGAGCACCTCTGTAAAGACAGTGATGTATGAGTGATGGTGAAAATGTTGAATGATGATGAAAGATTTTTCTTCGTTTTTGGGTTTTTCTTCCTTCTTGGGTCACCCTGCCTCGGTAGGAAACGGCTGACGTGTTAAAAAATATTTATTAGTGTGTATAAACAATCAGTAAGTATTGAGCTGTGATTTTAATGCTTGCTTTTGGCTAGGATAAGGTTTATCTTTTAAATAACTTTTTTTAAACTGGTAATAATGACAGTATTTTTTTACTAGTTATGATACAACTGAGGATGTGCTGTCTTGTGGGAGAGCACTTGTTGAATGTGAGGACAGCGCAGAGATGAGAGTTCGGGGCTATCTAGTTATAGCAGAAGCAGTGTGGATTTGCCCTAACCTTGCCTCTGGAGACCAGGAGGCTATCCAGTGTATCAACAAAGCCCTTAGCATAGTACAAGAAGCTATGGTACAGTTTCATAAATATCTGTATTTGTCAGTATGTAAAAAAAATCAGTTTTAATATTTGAAAGCTCTACAAAGAAATACCACTGTCACATGTACTTAACAAGAGAATCATGTGACACTTCTACATGTTCTTAGCCATTACTCCTATATGCTTTTCATTTTTTCACTTGCATAAATATTAACTAGGACTACTTGATAGAATATTTTTCATACAGTGCATATTTACTATGGCTTGTTTCTCATGATGCCAAAATTAGAAATTAGAGTATTAATGATACATTCTTACTATCAGAACGTAATCATTTACTTGCAGAAAAGTACCATATCTTACTATAAACTGCGGGAATTGGAAGCTTTATCATATTTCTGGCTGTACCTTTGCCGTTTGCAACGAATTCAAGATACAGCTGCAGTAAGTATTATAATGAATACAGTAGGACCCCTGTATCCACGGGGGATAGGTTCCAAGGTCCTGCTGTGGATACTGAATCCATCCGGTGACACGTCAACTCCCAAGTATCTGAAAACATTCACTTCTTCCATACTCCTCCTCCCCAATTTGATATCCAATTTTTCTTTATCTAAATCATTTGATACCCTCATCACCTTACTCTTTTCTATGTTCACTTTCAACTTTTTACCTTTACACACACTCCCAAACTCATCCACTAACCTTTGCAATTTTTCTTTAGAATCTCCCATAAGCACAGTATCATCAGCAAAAAGTAACTGTGTCAATTCCCATTTTGAATTTGATTCCCCATAATTTAATCCCACCCCTCTCCCGAACACCCTAGCATTTACTTCTTTTACAACCCCATCTATATATGTATTAAACAACCATGGTGACATTACACATCCCTGTCTAAGACCTACTTTTACCGGGAAATAGTCTCCCTCTCTTCTACACACCCTAACCTGAGCCTCACTATCCTCACCTATTCCATATACTTGCAACATCTGCCACATTGCTCCCCTATCCACTCTATCATATGCCTTTTCTAAATCCATAAATGCAATAAAAACTTCCCTACCTTTATCTAAATACTGTTCACATATATGCTTCAATGTAAACACTTGATCTACACATCCCCTACCCACTCTGAAACCTCCTTGCTCATCCGCAATCCTACATTCTGTCTTACCTCTAATTCTTTCAATAATAACCCTACCGTATGCTTTTCCTGGTCTTTCTTCTTTCTTTCAACACACCGGCCGTATCCCACCAAGACGGGGTGGCCCAAAAGGAAAAACGAAAGTTTCTCCTTTTACATTTAGTAACATGTACAGGAGAAGAGGTTACTAGCCCCTTGCTCCTGGCATTTTAGTCGCCTCTTACAACACGCATGGCTTACGGAGGAAGAATTCTGTTCCACTTCCCCATGGAGGTAAGGAAATAAACAAGAACAAGAACTAGTAAGAGAAATGGAAGAAAACCCAGAGGGGTGTGTGTATATACATATATGCTTGTACATGTATGTGTAGTGTGACCTAAGTGTAAGTAGAAGTAGCAAGACATACCTGAAACCTTGCATGTTTATGAGACAGAAAAATGGACACCAGCAATCCTACCATCATGTAAAACAATTACAGGTTTCCGTTTTACACTTGCTTGGCTTTTCCTGGTATACTCAATAAACTTACTCCTCTATAATTTTTACAGTCTCTTTTGTCCCCCTTCCCTTTATATAAAGGGACTATATATGCTCTCCGCCAGTCCCTAGGTACCTTCCCCTCTTTCATACATTTATTAAACAAAAGTACCAACCACTCCAACACTATATCTCCCCCTGCTTTTAACATTTCTGTCATGATCCCGTCAGTTCCAGCTGCTTGCTTTACCCCCTTTCATTCTACATAATGCCTCACGTACCTCCTCCACACTAACATCCTGCTCTTCACTCCTAAAAGATGGTATACCTCCCTGGCCAGTGCATGAAATAACCGTTTCCCTTTCTTCGTCGACATTTAAAAGTTCCTCAAAATATTCTCGCCATCTACCCAAAACTCCATCTCCCCATCTACTAACTCCCCTACTCTGTTTTTAACTGACAAATCCATTCGTTCTCTATGCTTTCTTAACTTGTTTAACTCCAAAATTTTTTCTTATTTTCATTAAAATTTCTTGACAGTGCCTCTCCCACTCTATCATCTGCTCTCCTTTTGCACTCTCTCACCACTCTTTACCTTTCTTTTACTCTCCATATACTCTTCTCTTCTTAAAACACTTCTGCTTTGTAAAAACCGCTCATAAGCTAACTTTTTCTCTTTTATCACACCCTTTACTTCATTCCACCAATCACTCTTTCCTCCTGCACTCACCCTCCTATAACCACAAACTTCTGCCCCACATTCTAATACTGCACTTTTAAAACTATTCCAACCCTCTACACCTCTCCCCCCCCACTACTCATACTTGCACCAGCCCACCTTTCTGCCAATAGTTGCTTATATCTCACCCGAACTTCCTCCTCCCTTAGTTTATACACTTTCACCTCCCTCTTGCTTGTTGTTGCCATTTTCCTCTTTTCCCATCTACCTCTTACTCTGACTGTAGCTACAACTAAATAATGATCCGATATATCAGTTGCCCCTCTATGAACGTGTACATCCTGGAGCCTACCCATCAACCTTTTATCCACCAATACATATTATATATATATATATATATATATATCTATACATGTATATATATTCTAGGTAGTAGGTTGGTGGACAGCAACCACCCAGGGAGGTACTACCGTCCTGTCAAGTGAGTGTAAAACTGAAGCCTGTAATTGTTTTACACGATGGTAGGATTGATGGTGTCTTTTTTTGTTCTGTCTCATACACATGCAAGATTTCAGGTATGTCTTGCTACTTCTTCTTACACTTAGGTCACACTACACACATGTACAAGCATATATATATACACACACCCCTTTGGGTTTTCTTCTATTTTCTTTCTAGTTCTTGTTCTTGTTTATTTCCTCTTACCTCCATGGGGAAGTGGAACAGAATTCTTCCTCTGTAAGCCATGCGTGTTGTGAGAGGCGACTAAAATGCCGGGAGCAAGGGGCTAGTAACCCCTTCTCCCGTATAAATTACTAAATTTAAGAGAAACTTTCGTTTTTCCTTTTGGGCCACCCCGCCTCGGTGGAATAAGGCCGGTGTGTTGAAAGAAAGATCTATATATATATTCTAGGTAGTAGGTTGGTAGACAGCAACCGCCCAGGGAGGTACTACCGTCCTGCCAAGTGAGTGTAAAACGAAAGCCTGTAATTGTTTTACATGATGGTAAGATTGCTGGTGTCTTTTGTCTGTCTCATAAATATGCAAGATTACAGGTACGTCTTGCTACTTCTTACACTTAGGTCACACTACACATACATGTACAAGCATATATATACACACACCCCTCTGGGTTTTCTTCTTTTTTCTTTCTAATTCTTGTTCTTGTTTATTTCCTCTTATCTCCATGGGGAAGTGAAACAGAATTCTTCCTCTGTAAGCCATGCGTGTCGTAAGAGGCGACTAAAATGCCGGGAGCAAGGGGCTAGTAACCCCTTCTCCTGTATATATTACTAAATTTAAAAGGAGAAACTCAGTTTTTTCTTTTGGGCCACCCCGCCTCGGTGAGATACGGTTGGTACATTGAAAGAAGAATAAGATATATACAGTGGACCCTCGACCAACGACATTAATCCGTTCCTGAGAGCTCATCGTTAATCGAAATTATCGTTAGTCGAGCTAATTTTCCCCATAAGAAATAATAGAAATCAAATTAATCCGTGGAAGACACCCAAAAGAATTGAAAAAAAAAAAAATTTTTACCACATGAAATATTAATTTTAATACACACAAACTGAAGAAGACATGTACAATTACATGACACTTACCTTTATTGAAGATCTGGTGATGATTGATGGGATGAGAGGAGGGGAGAGTGTGGATGGTGTTAGTGTTTAGAAGGGGAATCCCCTTCCATTAGGACTTGAGGTGTCAAGTCCTTTTCCGGGGTTACTTCCTTTCTTCTTTTAATGCCACTAGGACCAGCTTGAGAGTCACTGGACCTCTGTCACACAACCTATCTGTCCATAGAGGCCTGTACCTCCTGTTCCTTTATGACATTCCTAAAGTGTTTCACAACATTGTCAGTGTCACAATTAAACACTTGTTAAGGTTTCAATTCTTCACTGTCTATGTACTCCTTGAATTCCTGCACACATTTTTCAGCTGCTTTTTGGTCCGAACTGGCAGCCTCACCATGCTATATCACACTATGTATGCCACTATGATTCTTAAATCTCTCAAACCAACCTTTGCTGGCCTTAAATTCACTCACATCACCACTAGTTGCAGGCATTTTTCTAATTAAATCGTCATGCAACTTCCTAGCCTTTTCACATATGATCGCTTGAGAGATGCTATCTGTTTTTCGTTTATCCACACCAATAACAGTCTCTCAACATCTTCTATCACTTGCGATCTCAGTTTCGAAAACATAGTTGCACCTTTGGCAAGAACAGCTTCCTCGATTGCCGTTTTCTTGGTCACAATAGTAGCGATGGTTGATTGGGGTTTTGTGTACAACCTGGCCAGCTCGGAGACACGCACTCCACTTTCATACTTAGCAATGATCTCTTTCTTCATATCCATAGTAATTCTCGCCCTTTTTGCTGTAGGGTTGGCACTAGAAGCTTTCTTGGGGCCCATGGTGACTTATTTTGCAGGTGCAATCACTGAAAACACTGTGATAGTATGAAAAGTTCCGATTGTATGTTTGGATGAGACCACAGTGACTGGCTGGCTTGTAAACACTGGCCACAAGTGGATGCATCTCGAATGGAATGAATCGTGTTGGTCAAGTTTTTTAGCGCTAGTCAAGGCAAAATTTTTACGTTAAAATGTATCGCTAGTTGGATTTAACGTTAGACGATGCCATCGTTGGTCGAGAGTCCACTGTATATAGTACATGTATATTCTAGGTAGTAGGTTGGTAGACAGCAACCGCCCAGGGAGGTACTACCGTCCTGACAAGTGAGTGTAAACCGGAAACCTGTAATTGTTTTACATGATGGTAGGATTGCTGGTGTCCTTTTGTCTGTCTCATAAAAATGCAAGATTTCAAGTACGTCTTGCTACTTCTACTTACACTTAGGTCACACTACACATACATGTACAAGCATATATATACACACCCCTCTGGGTTTTCTTCTATTTTTTTACTATTTCTTGTTGTTGTTTATTTCCTCTTATCTCCTCCGTAAGCCATGCGTGTTGTAAGAGGCGAGGGCAAGGGCCTAGTAACCCCTCTTCCTGTATAAATTACTAAATTTGAAAAGAGAAACTTTTGTTTTTCTTTTTGGGCCACCCTGCCTTGGTGGGATACGGCCGGTTTGTTGAAAGAAAAGAAAGAAAATATATATATAG